ATCGCCTTTGCTGTTTATGTTGTATCCGAGAGGATTGGAGGATAGACTAGAGAAGAGTGGGCTTGGATTCGACCTTTCGTACAGTAAGCTCGGGCAAAAAATTCAGCAATCCTTACCGGGATTGATGTATGCGGATGATATCATAGTAATGGCTAACAACAGGACAGAGTTGCAGGGATTAATGAGTATCTGTGGTAGGGAAGGAGAGGAATTCGGTTTAGAATTCAGTAGTGAAAAATCAGCAGTCATGATTTTTAACAATTATGAAGCTGAGAGGCTTAAGATACAGAATATTACAGTTGAAAGAGCTAGTAAATACAAGTATCTAGGAGTATGGAAATGTGATGGTGCAGAATATCTTAGTGAGCATGAAAAGTATATAATAGGTAAGGGCAACAGGAATGCAGCTGTAATGAAAAATAGAGCACTTTGGAATTATAAGAGGTATGAGGTGGTGAGAGAGATTGGGAAAGGGGTCATGGCGCCTGGCTTGACTTTTGGAAACGCAGTGCTATGCATGAAATCCGATGTGCATGCAAGACTAGAAATAAAAGAGCGTGGAGTAGGTGGGCTGGCTTTGGGGGCACATTGCGAAACGCCAAACCAGGGAGTACAAGGAGACTTGGGATGGGCGTCATTTGAGAACAGGGACGCTGTGAGCAAGGTAGAATTTGAGGATCGGTTGAGGCAGATGGATCGGGAGCAGTGGGCACGAAAGGTTTTCAGCTATTTATACACGAGGAGTACAGACACAAAGTGGAGACAGCGCTCTAAGAAATTAAGAGGATAGTTCTTAGGCTATAGTGGAGTTACGGAAGAGCGGGTCTCAGTTAAGAAGAAAGTCAAGGCCACAGAAAGAGATTGGTGGCTAGAGGGAATGCAGACAAAGACGGCTCTGGAAAGCTATAGATTAAACAAAACAATTTTTGCCCAAGAAAGCATTTATGACAATTTTAGGGGAAGCTCATTGTTGTTTGAGGCAAGGACAGGTGTTTTGCGAACCAGAACATACAGAGCGAAGTACCAGGAAATGGATACTGTGTGCGCTGCTTGTGGAGAGGAGGACGAGACGGCTGAGCACTTGATACTCTACTGTAAAGGGCTTCACCCTATGCCTACCGAAGACAACATAGATTTAATGAAGTCATTGGGTTTTAGAGACAGCGAAGGAAATGTGGATATCAAGACAGTAGAGATTACCAAGCAAAAATTAAGTGAATGGTGGCAGAAAGCGAGAGAAAACTAGGTCTTTTCTTATTAACTAATGGCAAGGGGGTTTTATAGCCTCACTTTCTTTTCAGTGCGGAGTGAATATAGTTTTCACATTTAAATATTCTACGCTTATATGGTAAAACAAAATGGCTGGGTGGCGTGAGCTACCGCCCGATCCAAAGAGCTCAGCCGGATTCATCCATCCATCCATCTAGGCGTTAAGCGACGCTGGGTTGTTGTGCGAGAGTTCAAGTTCAAAAATTGTTTTCTCGCTTTAAACAAAAAAATATTTTGATCACACTTTCAGAATCGAAAGACAATCGATCGTTCTTCCGATCTCGCCATATTTTGTAGTTTTACTTGGACCATCTCAGGGTGAAATAAACGGCTGTTTATACGTCAAACTCAAAACGCACTTTTTTCAACTTCAGGATTTTAGTTTACTGCAAGATGTTTAATTGAACGGTTTTAAACAATTTTTTAGAACATATATATACCTATAGGACAGCCAGTAAAAGTTATTTTAGGTCCCGAGCAATTAATTTTTTTTAATAAAATAAAAAAAGGTAAATTTTTTCAAGATATGTATGATTTAAAAAAAAATATTTAAATTAAACAAAACTGCACAAGCCCAACCACTTTGTAAGTCGAAAGCCGTGCAAATTTAAGAAAGACATAATGGGGTGTTTTTTTTTAAACTGATTTATCATCAATTATTGAGTGATGTCTAGTTTCACGCTGTTTTTAAAAGTTAAAACCCCGCTCACGTCATAAAAAAAAAAAAAATCTTTTCGTCAAAGGTCGAGCGCAACGTCTGAAACGTTTGACCTGCATGGTTCCAAGCATGCAGTTGAGGCTTCGTGTTTAAAACTGAAACCGATAGGGCGTTGCCTATATTGAATATTGTGATATTTTCCCAATGGTGTACCGCTCTTTACCACATATAGACGCTTTAAAGGGATACTTCAACGAAATTTGAAATATTCCCGTCGTGTTCCAAAATAGGTTGAATATGATCCACAATATCCGTAAATGACAATCGCACGTTTGTATTTTGAGCCTGGTGGCTGTATTTTAAGTTATAAACGACCCACTCTGGGCAAGCGCTCGGAGAAGGCCCAGCGGAGACCACGTGACATCCAACGGAATCGTGACGTAGGTCGTCTCAAGACGAGCAAAGCTATGGCGAGGCTGACGTCGGGAGGATGGCCTAGTCGTTCCAGCCGCCGAAGCGGCTGCTTTTGTACGACTTTTGAGTGACGGGATAATCTTCTGTAATCTTGTAGGGGGACAATGGCGACTTCTGCGACACACAAAAGGCATTCTCAGGAAGAGGGGAGTTCCTCCTGCTCCTCTTCTCTCGTCGTGGCCGGAGGCGAGACAACCTCCGTCACTAGCTGTCAAGATTCCTAGACGGGCATTACAAGCGAGGCGTTAGCGACATCCACCAGGTGCTCTTTGCTAATCGTTTAATTCGTTTTAAAATTCTTTTTCGTGACTTTTTCAAACAAGATATTGGTATGTTCGATGTGATGCTGCTCCTTTGAACACATATAGACCAAAAAATGAGCGCCAAAATTTTGTTGTAGTATCCCTTTAAACACGTGCCAGATTGAGCTGCCATTGCCGATCTTCTCTTGTACTCACCGAGATGCCGAGCCACTGAAGTGGGCGTTGACAAGCCTCCACAAAAGGCCTATGCTGAGAAGGACGCACTAGCACCTAAAGTGGCAATAACCTGTCCTACTGTGGCAATGATGAAGTGAAGCGAACGGAATAAGAGGAAACAAAAACTGAATGTCTGTTTATGGCGGCGCCCATGCACAGCTGCCTGAACTTTGCTGTGGTGAGTGAGCGCCTTCCCTCTCCCACTTTATAGAGAGCAGCTCTTAGGCGCCAGTTTCCGGCTTGAGCGGCGTCGGCGTAACCGTGCGGTGCATTATAGGACGTTTCCCATGACGACGTCACACGTGTCATTACGTGTGACGTCACGAGTGACGTCACCGCGCGTTGCATTATGGGTAAATTTTCCCACTAAATTTAGCGGAAAATTTCCCCCGCTAAATTTAGCAGAAAAAATTTCTCTCTAAAGCACCAGAAAAATTTCCCCGCTAAATTGAGCAGAAAAATTTCCCCGCCAAATTTAGCGAGAAAAATTCTCCGCTAAATTTAGCGGGATATTTTCCCCTAATTGAGAGGCGAGCAGGAGAGGAGAAAAAGAGGGTGCGGATGAGGGGCATACCCTCCTCTCCGTACCTTCCCCTCCCCCTCCCCCTCAAGAGCTGCGCTCTAATGCGGCGTTACAGGGGGTTGTAAACGTTTCAATTTTTTATATTATTTGAGTTTGAAACGTTGTTCGGGCAGATTAATTCCCCCCCCCCCCCCGCCCGCCCCCTGTGCTTGTAAATCGTTAACAATATTATAACACTAGATGTGAACACGTGTGCATGTTTTTTTTGTTTGTTTTAGTGTAGTTTTGATTTGTGTGTAAAATTCATATTTTCAATAATCAAGATGGCTGCCATGACAACTTTCGTCATTCTTGTCCAGCTCGCTTGCACCTTTGCATTTAATTGCATTATAATTATAACCTTAAATTGCAAGAACTGTTGGTTGGTGTTCGACTGGTGGCAGCTGATAAAACCCGTTTGCTCTACTGACGTCTAACCCCTGGTTAGCTTAGAGCGCTCCACTTGTAATGGAGAAGTCCCGGGTTCGATACCCGGACCAGGCGGATTTTTTCGGTCGCTCACCAGTCACCTAGCTGTGTTTGGAGATTTATGTTTGTCCTTTGTCCCTCTTGTTTCCCTTCTCCAGGGATTACTTTTGTCATTCTTGTCCAGCTCGCTTGCACCTTTGCATTTAATTGCATTATAATTATAACCTTAAATTGCAAGCTTCACCCTTGTTGGTGTTCGACTGGTGGCAGCTGATAAAACCCGTTTGCTCTACTGACGTCTAACCCCTGGTTAGCTCAGTTGGTTGAGCGCTCCACTTGTAATGGAGAGGTCCCGGGTTCGATACCCGGACCAGGCGGATTTTTTCGGTCGCTCACCAGTCACCTAGCTGTGTTTGGAGATATATGTTTGTCCTTTGTCCCTCTTGTTCCCCTTCTCCAGGGATTACTTTCGTCATTAAGTGAATGGTGGCAGAAATCGAGAGAAAACTAGGTATTTTCTTATTCACTGATGGCAAGGGGGTTTCATAGCCTCACTTTCTTTGCACTGCGGAGTGAATATAGATTTCACATTTAAATATTCTAAGCTTAAATGGTAAAACGAAATGGCTAGGTGGCGTAAGCTACCGCCCGATCCAAAGGGCTCAGCCGTATTCATCCATCCATCCGCCAGCGCGCCGGCAGAAAGAATCGGCTGGCGCGCTCGGGCGGCGGCACGGCCGCCCCAGGCCGCCCGAGCGCGCCAGCCGATTCCGTGCCGCCGAAAGAGCAGCGGCACGGCCGATGTCAGCGAGGCGCAACAACTTCATGAGGACGCGCGCAAGAACGACATTCATGCTTTCGCATTCAAAACTGATAAGTGTACCTAGAGCCTTTTTGATTTGTTAGCTGTTAGTGGCAATATTTTTTTTTCCGTGTGTGTGTTTCAATTGCTGCTGCCATTGTAGAAAGGGAGAGCCACGGACTCGTCAAGCTGCATGAAGCAGCTTCTTTCCTCTGGTTCCTCCATCATATTTTGATGGAAAATAAAGATTAATTTTATTATTATATATGAAAGCTCTAGAAGCAGTGTTGCCCCTCAACCCGGAGGAAACAAAACATTATGGGTGGCTGAGGTTGGTATAAAATTCTTTATTAGATGTAGAAATGGTTAAGGCATCTATCGCGCTATTCCCATGTTCAAGACACTGGCAACATATTAGGACACAGCAGAGACTGCATAGCAATCTGGTTTGTGTCATTTTTGTGCATTGCAGGTTTCAAACCAGGCAGTCCATAACTTGGACTAGTACACTGTTTAGGATCCAACATGAACATCCTCCAAAGGAAACTCCCCAAAAACTATGCAACCACCAACCTACCATACGTTACCCGACAAGTGAGTAGGCAACAGATTCTTAAAATTATGTACACAAACCTTCACGTGTGGATATATTAGTATGGCATCCTAGGGCACCAGCATTTTGAATTGCACAGTGTATATAGGTGTGTACCACTGAATTTACTCGAGTATAAGGTCAACTTGTGTTTGAGGTCTGCATTCCAGCAGAGCAGTGGAGCTGATCATCGTATGGAACAACTCAACTACATGAAGAGGCACAGACACTTCGTGGCACTGGAACACCGAGTGCATGGCTTTGACATGCTCGGGATTCAAACACAGCCCACACTTTTTAATCCAAACGTTTTCTGGACCTTAGCTGTTGGTAGGTACAGTCATCCATCGTAGTTCTCCACAAGCTCTGCAAGATAGCTGACATGCATTCCTTTTTGTTCCCAAAGGAGTCGACCTCGTATTCGAGAGTGTGTTTCTTTCTGTATTGCAGTTGCTGAAGTCTAGCAGTGTTCGCCTCCAACATTTTACCGCTTAGGTCGCACCCACAATATGCCAAATTGCACATGTTCCCCAGTCCATTGGCAGTACCGAGAGGCACACACTTGGGTTAGCAACTGACTAGAAGGTGCCCAGTGTGCAGCCTTCACACTAAGCGCCTCTACACAAATGCAACATCCTCGCAGGGTTTGGGAAGAAAGGACACATCACAATGTACAAAAAAATACCCGGTGCCCGTGCAACCGGCACCATCCCTCTCTCAGAAACACAGAAAGCCCCACCACTGGGTGGGACATGACGAGTGTGTGGGGGATAGTGCAGCACGGGACAGAAACCATTAGCAGTTTGAGGCTCTTTCGCGCTTCACGAAGGGCGAGTCGCGGGAAGGCAGTCGAGATAGGGCGCCAAGGCAGCTCATCGAGATGGTTCGAATCGGGAGGGGGTGGGCGACACGGTGAGAGTGGTCTGGCCAGCAGGCCTGCCTCGTGACGTCAGGATAATGGGCTCGTGCTGGTGGTATTCGATGAGGTCCAGAATGCTCGCAAAGGTCTAGAACAAGGGGGAAGAAAGCAAATTCAGTTATCATAGATCGGAAATCAGCCAGGGTTCAGATTTTGAACCAAAATAAATAAATGAAACCTTGCCAATTTTTTTCAGTTCCACTGAGCACCTATAGGGATACATGTATTCATTTTTTGTTTGCTTAGTTTGCCTTCCCAACTCTTGCATCTTAAAAGTGCAATCCAATGCGACCCGAGCAATGCCCCCCCCAGCCACGACAACCCTCTTCATTTTGCTCTGCTCCTTTTAGCTCTTTACCTCAGTGGACATGACCTTGAACTACACTTGGAAGGGACTGAGGCTTTTGCAACAGCCCATTAATCTTTCTGTCTTTCTCTGGCGCATGTGTACACTTCTGTCAGGCTCGGTGGCTTGCTTGGTTCCACTAGTTTAATTTTGCGTGGAGTTCAGAGTTAAAATTGTGTACCATGCACATGTGTCAAGCTTCTTGTTCGGGCACTGGTGCACGCATAAAGCTTCACCATCTTGCACTGGCAAGCTAGGAGCAGTGGCTGACGCAGAGGAGCGTCTGGGTTAGCTCCATAAGCTCAAAAAGTTTGCTCACTCTTATAGGTTGACAGTCTCTTGTTGTGATTATAGATAGACCCATAATTTTAGATAATAGTTAAAAAACAGTATGTGAGTATTAGTTCTCCACAGCTGTGAAAGTCTATGTAAAATAAATTGCGAGTAGAGTCTCACCTTCTCCAAGGGCTTCTCGGTTCCCAGAGCGTAGGTGTTGTCCGTGCGTCGGCGGATGTTCAGATGGAACAGACGGTCTTGGTAGTAGATGCTTAGCGTGTATGGGTTGTTGTCCCCTCCACGCCGGCTCACGCGAACCAGGTAAGCCCCGTTTCCCAGGTCGTTCAGGCAGGCATCGACATCCTCTCGCTCAACGTTGTGGAACCAGTGGTACCCTTCCAGGGTGTTCTGGCAAAATTGAAAATGAGCCGACTTGTAGCGGCAGGTGATGGGAACACCAGAGGAAGCGAACCAAATTTGTAATAACTCGATATACATAACATTTAGACTGAACTGGGTAAACTTGGCTATACTCTGTTCACCCCTAAGCTGAGACTGTGGTGGAAGCTACGGCCTCGTTGGACCAGTCATACGGCTCTCTTTCGCCACGTCATCACGCTCCTGCCCATACCCACATGCAGAGAGCCAAGTCAGGTGATAAGAGGAAGGCAGAGAAGGGCCTAGAGACATACTATTCTGACAGCAATTTTGGCAAAATATTCAAAATAAGGGCTAGGTATGGTTGACTGAAACTGGCCGTCTAAAATACCAGACACATACCCTTGGCAACATTTTAAGTTGTTTAAATTTTACACGAGTTTTGCTAATGTATGAACATAAAAGGCTGATATTAGTTTCCCTTAACATCATTGCATTTTGATAGGAGTGATGCCAAATAATTCAAGCATTACAGAAACTGTCATCCTGTAGAACTGGTTCACATGAAGTACAAAAGAAAGTGCATATTATATTAAAAAAAAAAACGATCTTAAAACTCGGGGAAAAAACAACAACAAATGCCAAACTTGAATGTCATTTTGGTGTTGAATTAGGAGCTTCCCCCTTTATCACATTTTTATAGTATGATTGAGTGGATAGCAGTGGCTGCTGAACATTCCGTGTGACTTTTCGGTAGCAGTGCTTTAAATGCTAACCATGGATAGCAATCTCTTCAGAAAAGCTGACAACAAAGAAAAAAGAGGGCCACCTGCTGCTCCAGAATCACAGAAGGGGCTGTCGTGGCTGGCGGACTCATGGGCACTGGGGGCAGAGGTCGCTTGCTGATCGTAGCGGCTGGGTATGAAATGAAAGAACATTCAGCGTGCAAGAACAACACCCACTTTCAAGAGACGGCCTATAGTTATAAGTCAGTGCAGGTGAAGAAGACACTGAAAAGGGATTTTGCAGAAAAACAGAACAAAATGCCAGGTTTGTAAAAGATATAATGCAATAACAATTAGGTGACAATATGTTAGCCAAATGCTGACTAGGTAGGTGAATAACAATTTTGTATTTTTACACACTCAATTCGAAGCTAGGCTCTCACTCCGATCTGGACTGTTCCTGATGAAACTACAAGCATAAGCAATATTTATTGCTTGAGCTAACATTTATTTTATTTATTATTCTTGCCATAATTTAAAGTATTATTGTAATTATTATTATAATCCCTTCAAATGGCCAATGTGCCATCGGGCCTTTGTCATAGAATCTGGCATACATGAATGTGCCATAGTGGCACCTTGTGCCACCACAGTGACATTACTGGCGAAGTCATGCTGGTACAAACAGTACATTGGAGGAATTGAGACAATTCATGCAACGTGGTCGGACACACATAAAACATGGCGTATCCGCCTGTTCACGAATGCTGCCACCCAAGCACCACTCGCAAGTATCATGGGCTAAGGAACTTACCTAATGTTGACGTGTCTTCATAATTTTTTCGGCTGGACGACGAGACGGAATTGTCGCCAAGGGTGGCAGGCAGTCCCCCGCGGTTTAGTGCCATCTGCTCGAACTTGCTGCTGAGCGAGACGCCCGCTGAAGGGTCCTTCATACGGGCAGGCTTGGTGGGTAGTGGTGGCGGGCGCAGGGGTGGGCCCTGCTGGCCGAGAAGCCGCGGAGGCAGGGGCAGCTGCTGCACTCCCCGACTCGCCACAGGCAGGACTGGGGCAGGGGGCTGCCAGACGGAATCTAGGAAAGGAAAACGCACCAAGGTCTCTTGAATGGCGTTGGAACAGGGGGCCAGAGGATGATTTCCCCCAGACATTTTTGTGTAATGGGGGCATTGTCGCTATTACGCAAAATGTCTGGAATTGTCGCCTTCCCCGCTAAGATGAGAATGAGACAGCCGGTGTAGTCCCGCACCCGCTCTGTGGTAGTGAGCACAGCGTGCCACACGACATTTTCTACGCCCTTCTTTTTGTACAGGCGTTATGGCACTAATCTGCCATATAAAAACCTACCGTAAAAACCCGAGAGATAGCCCACCTAAAATCGACAAAAACTTGGGTGAAAATAAGGAGTGGGCCAACTTTCGGTGTACAATCAAGGAAAGCTGAAAAAAAAAAAATTTTTAGATCATGCCTTTGTCAAGCTTGTTATCTCGGCAAGGGGCAATGAAGCAAAGATTTCTGAACTTCCCGGTCATCAATGTTCGCTTATATCCTGCCATAGCTAACTAGACACATTTACGCCAAGGCCATTATTGATCCCAACACTCTGATTACTAGGAGTGGGCTATCTTTTAGTGTTTAAAAGAAAATAGCAAATCAAGCCAAGAATTGGGGTGGGTTACCTTCCGGTGGTGGGGCATCTCTCGGGATTTTACGGTATACTCCGTGTCACTAGTTGCGTGCAGTACAGGCGAAGGCAACGCCAGGCGAGGGGAGAAAGGGCAAGCACTAGGAAGGTTGGGTAGGACACGAGAAACCTCCTCTCCTCTCTCAACGTTCCTACTGCTCTCCCTTTCTCCCTTCGTGCTCCACTGCACTCCTCTCCCATCTCGCCCTCCTAGTGCTTGCCCTTCCTCTCATTGCCTGGCGTTGCCTTCGCCTGCACTGCACACAACTACTAGTGACACGGAGCATAGTACTCTACTTTCTTTTGGAAATTCAAGTGTTGCATGCGGCTGTGACATGCGAAATAATTAGACCTTTACATTGTGCGAAGTTAACAGCTTTGCAAATATATATATGTATAATCATACTTTTATCGAGGCTATCTCAAAATAAGAACCAGAGCTACTGCATAGAACATTAATTCCACACTGCTCTGCAAGCAATAGGTAACTGCATCACTGTTTGTACTCTGCACAAAATACATAAACTAGTTTATCACAACTGATGGCCTAACCACACATTCTTTTTCTAAAGTCACAAACCGACTTCAAGAACCATCTTGTTCCTAAAGTAAGAAGGGAATTGTCATAACCTCTCTAATAAAAGTTTCAACGGTGCTTTTTAAAAAAAACACCAAGTTAGAGGATGTCAATTTTTCTATACAATTTTCTTAAACGAGTTGCCCTCTAACTTTTAGACGAGTGGTTCTCAAAATGGTCGGCGGACTCCCAAAACGCCTTGAGCGCGTTCGTGGGGGTCCACACCAAGCAAAAAAAAAACTGCTCCGAAGAAGAAAAAAACCTCCTATGCCTACGCACAAGACCTCCGATGCAGAATGCATTGGGGGTGCCCGAACGGCCTCCGAGTGGGCCGGGGGGTACGTGACGGCCAAAAGTTAAAGAAATGCTGTTTGAGACTATAGACTGCTATGCCTATAAGCATGCATTAGGTAGCAATCTTGTGTGCCAATGTACAGGAAAGGATCTCTATGCTTTGAATGGTTTAAAAAAATTCACAAGCAGCAAGAGGTATGAATAGTGAAATTTCTCTGGTGGAAAAAAATCGGACAGTGGTCCATTGTCCCGGCTCTATAAAAATAACCTTTCTATTTTCATAACAAAGGTCGCAACTTGCTGCATCGCAAGAATGTCAGACGGCTTGCAGAATTCAAAACACCTTGCATCAACTCAGTAAAACATTTGATAAAATTTTAAATTTTACAAGAAAGAAAAATGTGAGAAACATACCACCAACAACTTCATAGTCCCCGCCTTCACCAAACTGTAAGGAATGTAAAGCAACGCTCAGAAGCAAGCATTAAAAAAATACTCAACTAGCACACTACTATACAACAATTTAAAGCTTGGCCCTTTAACCTTATAATACATTACCATACTCACCGACTCCACATGTGCATACTCTGCAAAATGAAAAGTAACATGTTAGCGCTGTACTATAACACTATGCAAAAACAAAGAGCTGGCGAAACGATGTTCAGCTATATTCCAGACACACCTCTGTTATCTTCACTTTCATCCTCTGTGCTGGGCGGCTTGGGAGACAAGGCGGGGGGCTTATACGAAGGCACATAGCCCCGAATGCTAGAGTGATGGGATATTGGTACTTCATAGTCCTCCGATGTGTCCGAGGAAGAGGTTGGTGCACGCTGCATCAAACAAACCAGTCAGGCTCCATTAAGAAACACATTATATAGCATTTAATGAATGTTTTTTGTGTGCAAATTAGATGTTTGATCTCTTATACTATTAGGTTTCTCTTTCTTTCGGGCTACACGTTTCTTAAAAATTTCAAATTAACTGACCTTAGGAATTGAGAGGGTTCATCATCTATGCAATAAAACTTTGGTCCAGTTTTAAAAAAACAACGACCATTGGGTAATTTCCCTTAGTCACTGAACCAAGGGTACCGTTTTAGAGGACTTTGATATCCGAGCGCATTAATTATATAAGATTGGTGAATTAAAGAAAAATGGTGAGTTAAAGAGGCTATTTATTTGTTAATCTGGCAGATTTTTTTTTTTTTGGGGGGGGGGATTATTTTAGGACATCATTTAATCCAAAACAAGAGAGCTTGAAATAGAAGACGGTAACAGCTTTTTGTTGCATGACATATACTTCACTCCAACCATTTAAAGATTTAAAGGGTAACTGCAAAGAAAAAAAGTGTATTTTTAAACAGCCTAATTAGGACAAGCATGTCACAAAACAATTTCTCCAACAAAAACACAAACATTTTACAGCAATATTTATTGCGCGGGACTGATTTTAGTTTGCGGCTATTTCGTCCGTTTTAAATTGCGCGCCACAAAGTTGGTATTATACGTCATGGAGTGGCTGCTATACGTCACGGAGCGACGTATAACAGCCACTCCGCGCGCATCGAAAGAGCGGGAGTTTCAAATATCGAGAGGTTGTGACTCCGACTAAATCGAGTCCTGTGGCATAAATATGGCTAAAAAAATTTCTTTTTTCGCGGAAGATTTGTTTTGTGACATGCTTGTCCCAATAAGGTTGTTTAAAAAAACACTTTTTTCTTTGCAGTTACCCTTTAAGGGCTTTAAAAGACAGGTTTGGTAGACACTCTTTCAGAAACAAATTGCTTGACCCCATGTTTACATAACAGAATAGGGGTGAAATTGTGTTATAGTTAGAAACCAAGTTATGTTAATAAGAGCTATGATACTTCAGAAAAAAAAAGGTTTACATTTTAGGGTTGTTTTTTAATGACTTCATGTCTTTATTCAGAATATAAGAATTTATTAAAAACTACACAGACAAAAAAATCAATTGGCAATTTGCTACTTTGTGTAGCTGTAGAATGAAAACAAGGGTGGCTCTGTTTGGAACTGAGTTCACATTTTTGTAATTCATTTACAAAATATCCCACTAAGATACTATTGAATTAAATTATACTCGTGCAAAACTGAAGTGAGAAACTTCCAGTTTACAAACCAAGCTTTTCATAGCATATTCTAATACCTCAGTTATGAACCGGTTGTTAAATGAAAGCAAATGTTCATTTGATGCTCATACAGGTAAGGATTAAATGCTCGAACCCAGGTTGGAAGCAATATAACCAAGCTTCCGCACATACCTCGGGATGCACTGGAGGGGGTGGCGGCTGGCTTGGTGGCCGCTTCACTGGAGGCCTTGAGCCCGGTCTTCTGTTTTGACAACAAAAAATGTAAAATGTCTAACCCTCAGTTCAGGATGCAAATCTCTCTCTGCCAACTAGTTTGTTCTGTGGGGGAAAAAGGAAACAAAGCAAAAGATCCACTTACAAGATGGGTCTTCCCTCTGGTGGCTTTGGTATCGCTGGACCATCGGGCGGCTTGGGAATGGCCCGCTTGATGGTGGTAGGCTGGATGCTGCCAGAAGAACCTGGGAAAGACAAAGTGGGTAAGGATGGCAAAGTGTTAGCGTTATCGAAGAAAACGCGATTTCAACACCTAATACTCCGACAACTTAAAAAGGGAACCAGACAAAGCTTTCTCTATGTTGCCATATCCCAGAAACTTTTCTTTTATGCTTTGTGCATTTTCAGAAAATCAAAGAACATGTGTATTTGAGCAGAATAAGTTGTTTATGTGACAGTAAAACTGAGAAATAAATTAACTTGCACAATCCTACAAAAGGAAGCTCTGGCTTTTTGGAACAGATACTCGCCTGATGCATAGGAAGATGCTTCGGATCCAATACTGCTCACTGATGTACATTCCTCCTGAAACAGACAATTCCGTTTCATAAAAACTTTTCACCCAGACGAAAATGATGGCCTTTATTCAGTAGCAAAAAAGATGCAGTGTCTACCTTTCCGTCAGAAGGCGTACTACCAGAGTAGGATGTGCTTGTCTTGTTTATTCCGTTCATTGAACCTATAGTCAATCAATCATAACCATTTAAAATCGGCACAAAAATGTAGGTTAGTCATGAACAAGCAAAGAACTCACATACCATAAGTTACTGTAGGCATGACATCTGGCATGCAAGGTGGTGTGTCATTTTCTGGCTGCCAAAAAAAAAAAAGAAAAAAACAGTTTGTCAATCAAAACTTAATCAAATTTAGATATGATGGGTCTTAATATTACTACAATTTACATACTTCTGAATCATCAAAGTCTGTATCCCAACTCCAATCTTCGTCATCGTCTTCATCATCATCTTGAGCACCTGAGAACAAGTTTTGAAGAGTGCAAGTTCATATATCAGTATCAAGAAATAAACAGTTGAGCACTAGTAGAGAGGACCCTACTGTGCAAGAAAAGTAGCAGCATTTAGTTGCACTGAATTATATTAGCCTCAATCACTAAGATATTAAACAAGCCGATATCATAGTACTCTGGCAAACTAACAGTTTTGATATTGACACTTTTGTCGAACAACAAAGATGTAAGGAATTAAAGACCCATATCAGAACAGCGTTATTGTTTTCTGTACTACCAAAACGTTGCACTCAGCATGGTATCTTAACCGTATGATGTTACAGAAACCCTCTATAGTCCGTTGCAAAGGTGGGACGAGGGAAAGGAAGGCCGGGGAGGAGGAAGCAGGTGGAACACTGGAGAGGGGGAAACCTCTCCCCCTCTCCAGCGTTCCGCCTGCTTCTCCTCCTCCTCCCCGGCCTTTCTTTCCCTTGCCCTACCTTCTTGAGTTGCCACTGAATATAGAGCGGACAATAAAATGACTGGTCAATGACTGGATTCCTGTAGATTGGAGAAGAGAATATTCCGAACGTTCAAATACCAATTCGAATAACAATATTTTCGTTCTGACTTTTGAACCAGATTTGAGATATTTAAATAAATATTTCGGTCTGCAGAGCGCGCTTCCCCTGTGACGCGGGTGCGTCGCGGAGAAGCGAGTCCTGAGCAGCCCACCCTAATATTTACAGAACGTCGCGGGAGCGCCTAGCAAATCACGGAAGCCTGTAGATGTATGCCTGGTCCAGACATGCTGCTGATGAAAACTGAGCCCTAAATGAAAAAACACATAACAACTGTCTCTACCAGCGACATTAGAAAGTTTTCGTAGATCATCCCAATGACTCCGATAACGATATCCAATGCTCCGCCGCCGCCTTTACGCATGCATCGTATCGTTATCAAGGGTATCGAAGGTATCCGAACGAACTACTAAAACCCTTTTGCCTGAGACCTTTACGCAATCGTGCGCCTCAGCGATTTCCCCGCAGCGGACTGGTCCCCCCGAACGGGGGTAATCACTCTATGCGCGTTTAGACGCAGACATCCCTCCAGTATTTCAAAAGCAAATGCGGTTTCCTTTCACAAACGCTTTGAACTACGACTACCAGAACAGAGCTTCAAATTGAGCTTTTACAGTAACAAGATACACGATCCAACGTATACTGGGCGCATGTGAGACAAGAAAACCGTAATCGCAAAATTATGCTTCGCATTGCCAAACGCCCTTTTCGGTCAGAATGTAGCGTTAGCGGATGGGACTGAATTCCAAAGTTGCAGAACTTTGCGTCATTTCATTCAAAAGTTTTGTGCGATTTTCATTAATCTCCAACGAAAACATTAAGCCCATTTCCGGCAGCAGACCCCTCTATGTATTAGCGGGTTCCGTCCGCCGCCGTTTTTTCATTGCGAATTCTCGAAAATCTCCTATATTTTTTTTTAAATTCACATCAGAGGTAGGTCTTGAAACTTGATTTTCACCCACCCGCAGGCGCTAGATTAGGGCGGAAACTGAGCGTTCGGAGATGCGCAGTGTTTTTGCATAGTATGAATACGATTTTCATTTATTATCATCCAAAACATATGCAGTATCGCCCTCTCGAGTTTGTCCTGATGCGCACGTACTGTCCCGATGTGTTGAATTTTCGACAAAAGAAGGTCGAATAGGAACGCGCCTCGTCGCTCATATCGGCGCAGCTGGGGGCCTTTACGTAAACGTGTTCACCAGTCACGGCGTAAGAATTGAGAGGCGTCTGAACAATGCCAGGCAAGTGCAAAACTTTGTTCGGGCTTTGCGCAGGCGCGGTCGCGTGCGACGCGGCCTTGTAAACTTGTCCAGGAGTAAGAACGGTTCCTCCTCGAGTGGCTCTCATATCCCTAAAGCCCCTTTATGTTTTAAAAGTAGCGCAGAGTGCGTCGATGCAAGAGGCACGTGCAACGTGCAGTCCTCGGGAAGATCATGACGGCACAGCGCAGCACCGAGCTAGATTTCAGATGCCATGTTCTTCCCAGAAGTGGGGCGCGCCACGTGTCTCGAGCATTTCCACAACAATGAATTGCGCCACTTTCCCCAGGATAGAGGGGCTTTAACTATCCCTAGAGTTCCTGCATAGGCTCCCTACGGGAGCCAGAGTTGCGCGTCTGTTTTCCACGTGCCGCCGCGCCGCTATTCGCCGAGATCCGATCACGTGAGGAGCCGGATCAAGTGCCATGCAGGAAAGTAGACGTTGCACGCGCCCCGGCGTACGTTCCCCTGCTTTAGAGCGCGCCGCGCGCCTCGAACGCGTGGCGCCGCTATTCACCGAATTCAGTCACGCGACGAGCGGGATAAACATGCCGTGCAGGAAAGACGGCGCTACGGAGATGAACGCGCAACTCTGGCTCTCGTAGGGAGCCTATACAGGAACTCTAAGTTTCCCAGATGTGTTGCGCCATCTCACGACGTTTGCCTGGAATGCAAGCGAACCTTTAACCACACTTGTTCTATGACGAGGCGGTGCCGTTCAGACACCTCTATTTTTCCACCGTAGCACGGTGCCGAGAAAATGTAGGAATGAATTGCTGAATATGGGTGAAGCCTTCGGGTCGGGCGGCGGGTTGTGCCACTTAGCGAGTATTATTAATTTCAACAGCTGAACATGTTTTCGAAAAAAAGTATCCTAATTTCCCCTTTCGCGCTCGGCTGCACGCCGCCACGATTGTGCAACGCGGTGTCGGCCAATCTCGGCACCACGTGGGTTTACGTGGCACCGTTACTGGGCGGCCGTGTTTCTCCCTCCCCCGACCTCCTTTTTCCTCGACTGATCTCCGATATCGTTCAGGAAAGGTTTTGAACGAGATAAAAGCTCCAGGTGGCACCAACAACATGGGATCGAGGCGGATGCATCGGCGTGTCTTATTTAATTTTGTCCGCGAGTGCGCACCAGCGCGGACCATGGTACATTCACTCACGTGGGCACGCGAGGTTTTTTTTTTTGTTTAACTTCTACATACCTCCGGATGATTCGGGAAGGTGTTTCGACTTCCGCGAAGAGTGCTTCATGTCACCAACGAGCCTGAAAAAGTACAAAAAAAAAAAATATATATAGCGAAGCAGGTGCCATGCACTATACATATTAGCGGCGAGATGTTTTGGTGGCGCCCTCCTACGGTTCCCCCTTGTGACGTCATTACCTTGCGAACAACAAGTTCGATGGTGTTTGTAAATAGCATGGTGGAAGCTTGAAATCATTGCGCTCTCAAAGCAACACTGCCAACACCGTCGACACTAAAGTTCTTTCATTCGTCTTATTTCCGTCGATGGTATACCCTTTCCGACGTCATAGTCAGCTTTTGGGCCAATCGTGGAAGGCCCACCACAGCGACGCTTTCGGTCGCGCACGTCGCCAATACGCGTATCGACCGACATCAATATTACGCCGTAGCATCTACGGCACTTGTTCAAGTGGGAAATGGAAACTTTGTGCTACGGGACAGGAGCCTTATAATTGAAAGGGCGCAAAGAAAACAGCGGCATAGTCCTCGTTTTGGACAGGTTCAGCTATAGGGTTACTGACGTGCTACTCACGAGAATTAGCATCCCCAAGGAAAAGAAGACCCGTCCCTCGATGAACTGTATATAGAGTGTCTGAAGTAACCAGGCTCGATTTAAAGTGGACCGTAAAAGTCAGCGCCTGCACGTAGCAATCTAAACTTTTCGTCAAAGGTGTATTTCAAAAGTCAGTTTTATCCTGTAAAATTACAAGGTGTTTCTTTTTACTTATAACATTTTTTCTTAAAGAAGTGGTTTGGGGGGGGGGGGGGGGGGTGCTTTACATGGGTGCTTTCTTCACTGTGTATTTAACGGGCTCGGCAGACGTTAATGCTGGACTCCACGGACCGAAAAAAAGCGACGAATTTCGCCCCGGCGGCGTTCGCAGAAGAGTGACTGTTACGCCGCGCGCAAAGCAAACGCGACGCCGGGCGAAGTTCGTCGGCTCTTCGCCGCATATTCTTTCCATGAAGTTAAGCCTTTAGACGGAACAATATTAGTTACGATCCATCGGATAATTAACTAAAATTACCTAAATAAATTCTGAAGTATTGGTTCATGAGTCATGCTCCAATTACAGTTTTAAAGCCAATCACTAATAATGGCTAGACCAATCTATACAATTTGCGAGAAGGCGATGGTCTGAGATATTCATCTAGTACAAGTTTTCGTATGTTCGTTGGCGTACAGTTAAAAAAAAAGTGCGGGGAAGCCGCCTGGTTATTTAGGGTGGGGATAATTTAGGGAGAACGCAAATAGTGACTGGCACTTTGTCATTATCTAGGCAGCGTTTGGTCGACGCTTCCACCAACCACGCGCCGCCGAGATAAAGAGGTGACCGGCACGGGTCCGCCACTCTTGTACCTTGACGATGAGGCGCGCTTCGTGCGCACACTTTTTGAATTGCCGACAAACACACGAAAACTTTGATGAATATCTCAAAGACCTTGCCTTTTCGCAAATTGTATAAATTGGTATAACCATTGTCAGTGATCGGATTTAAAACTCCAATTGGAACAGGACTTTTCAAACCAATACGTAAAAGTTCATTACGCAATTTTAGTTAATTAGCCGACCAATCGTGATAAATATTGCCCCGTCTAACGTCCGCCGATCCCGTTAAATACAAAGTCGAAACAGCACCCATGTAAAGACCACCCACCTTAAAAAAAAGTTACAAGCAAAAAGAAACATGCCGATTCGGAAGTGATCCAGGGCCACCGATAAATGGCCTCAATGTGTTCTCTCTTAGTAGGCGGGCAACGCAGTCGATCACAATCAAATGCAATGTCCGAAGAAGTAGCCTTTCAAGAAAGCAAACTGAACGCACGACAACATGAGCTACTCAAGTTTCCAACCTTTGCGGCGTACTGATATGACGCAAGCAAGTCATCCTCACATATTGTATTTACTCGAGTAATGGCCGGACTTTTTATGAAGAAGACCCTCGTGTTTACTTTCCCGCATAGCACATATACAGCCAATCATTGCGTTGCGCAGAAATAACACAGCGAATAACCAGATCGAGAACGCGATCCTCCATACAAATGCAATCTTCACAGATGGTATCTTCGCGCGAAGACGTTACCTCTGCCCTGTAAACCGCTGGAATCGTGCTGTCGATCGCGGTGATTGGCAGTCTGCGTGCTCCGGGGAAAAGCAAACCCTCAGGTTTTCTTCGCAAACAGTGCGGCTATTACTCGAGTAAATACGGTATACGCCGCAGTCGCCCGTAAAGTGATATGGAGCATCGCAATGGAAAGATATGTGCAGTGTGCATGCCGCGTAGAACAATGCTCCCCGAACGAAAATAGTGCCGTCTCCGCCGGTGCTTCGTATCGTAATACACTCCACCTCGGTTTCAGAGGTGGATGACCGAAGAGGAGAATGGGACGGCGACGAGAGCACAGACAGTCGCTTCTCTATCGCAACAGCGTTTTTAGATAATCAAGGAGGGTCGGGAGAAGAACACGCGGCTTTGACGGCACGCCGATGTCGGCACGGCGCATGTGCTTCACCTCGCCTCTGCGAAGTTCAATCGCGTTTTTAATTATACAAAAAAAAAAAAAAAAAAACACGCATGGCTATAATTTTGGGCATACTGGTTTGTTTAGGGCACGTAGGTTGAGTTTGCGCCATAAACAAAAAATAAAAAATAAAAAAATAAAACGATCTTGAAATTTACTTTACTGCCACTTTAAACATGCTACTCTCAGCCACCTCGGCTCCGCGGACTATGGGAGAAACTCATTTCTGAGTGTCCTCACCGACGGGAACAATCAAATCAACAAACATAGAGGATCTTAAGTGACTATGTCGCGCGTTCTCTCAACATATTGAACGACTATTCGTTTTCCATTCGAAAGTCATAAATGATGCCGGGCGTCAATTTTCACGCAGCTACGCACCCGGGCAAGGTAACACTCCGTCGACGCCCCTAACGCATGCGGAGTTACGACCTCTTGTGGAGACACCGGTGCGAGCTATAAACAAATAAACGTAAAAAAAAAAAAAAAAGACTTAAAGGTAGACGGAGAAGCCAAAATCAAACGAATCAGGTAGGTGTGGTACGTGTATAAACGGCACTCCCCAAGGAGCAACAAGCGCCTTTCAACAAAACAGCGGACCTTAGATCGCAATAGCGTTTTGTTTTGTTCCGTTTTTCTCTTCAAAGATACGATGGGCGTAGCTTTCTTAGCAAACAAAAAAGCAAACAATGAAAGAAAAGGGAAAGAGAAAAACTCCGCCGGTTTCCCGTTTGGCTCTTGGGTTGCCCCGAGACGCGGTGCTTGCCACTGGATCGGCCTTTCGCCGACTGGTACGGGGAACCGGGAAAGTCGGCCACCGGCTCTGCTCGCTCGCCACACCCCTTTCCTCGCAACGTCCTATTGTTGCTGCCCTGGTACAAAACTTCGACCACTCGAGCCGATGTTCGCGCAGGCATCGTTTCATCCATATTTTGCGGCGAACAACACGCGGAAGAGCCAGCAAAAACTGTCAGGTGCGCTAAAGGACCCTGCGCGTTAGTATCATATATTACTCGCAGTTATATGAAGTTAGTATGAAGTCAAATTTGGGAGGTTTACGTCCGAAACCAACGAAGTTGCTGCTTGGTATTTTGTTTTTCAAATGACTGTACTTTCGTTCCCCTCCCCACTCCTCCTCCTCCTCCTCCTCCTCCCACGTAATGCCCGTGAGGGCCTTTTGGATAAATGAGTAAAAAAGGGCACCTGGCACACCCCAGAGGAGGACAACCCAGAATTCATTTGGACCTCCTAGGGGTCTTTTTGACGTGCAACCCTAAGCTCGGTTACACGGCGCCTTCTGCGCAACCAGCCTCTGTCAGATGGTAGGCACCTCGGCCGGGATTCGAACCCGCCACCTGGGGATCCGTAACTCTTTAATTATAGATGCAGACACGCTGTTTACAACCAAATCGGTGGTTTTTTTGTGGGCACAGTACATGCGCAGAAACCAGGGTCGCGTGAATGCGCCGACCACGGCGCCACCGCGGCTGAGTGAAGTCAGTGCCGCGTACTGGAGTATACACACATCAGTGCCACGCGGGCACCGAGCGGCCGTGCCAGTGGGCGTGCAGTACAGTGATTTTGGCTTCCTCAAGTTGAATTCACTTATTTTAACCGGAACCGAATATCAAATTTCGATCTTATGGTTGCCACACGTAGCCGGTGTATCTTTCCCAGTTAATAGGGTGTTTCAGCAGAGCGTCACCACTGGCTACCGCGGACACGGTAGAAAAAATATATTAAAAAAAAACGGACAGGACAATACAGTCTCAAACGAAGCTGAAATTTATTGGTTCGATCGTACCAATAAATAAATAAACTTTCCAACACATGCAAAAAGGGAAAGAGGCGCCAAAAGTGCATAAACGGGATGCCCAAGGACCTGGACAAAAAACCACCTCCCGCAAGGGTCAAACCATTTAGGGCGAACCCGAAAACCCTCCAACCCTTAAATCTCCAATCTCCTTGCACAAATCCGCTTTCCACCCAACCGAAAATAGCACTACATATCGCAAAAGCAAAAACTCCATCCCATTAGGGATGGTTGGCTCACAGTTACCATGCCCGCCTATCCAGCTCCGTTCACCCCTAGGCTGAAAGTGCGGTGGGAGCTACGAGCTCCCCGGACCAATCGATCACCTTCCTTTCGTCACCTGACTCCCCACTGTTGTTGCTTTTAAGGGACGTATGAGCGGTTCGACGTGCGCGTATCTCCCACCGCGCTGTCACAGAGACGGAAAAAACGTAAACGAGCGGGCGAGGACACGCGAGCAACTGCGCTGCCCTCCTACTCTCTCTCTCCCCCCTTTTCAATGTCACGTGGTAGATGCTGCGGGGGCAAGGACTTCACACGCGGCCTTTTCGGATTTTTGAACAAAAAATTTATCGACTTCGGTGTTTTATAGGTTCAAACAGCAACTGGTTACCAACGCGACGAAGAAACCCCCCAGTGCCACGGGACAAACTTTAAACGCGTTTGCTCCAATCCAAGCTGGTATTGAAAATTAGGCGTATTGGCGACTGCAGCGAAATCGACGCCGCGTAGCGGCAACGCGAAGAAGCTCAAGAGAGGAGGTCGTTTCGACTCTGTCGTCTGCTATCGCTGCTTGGTTCTCGTAGGCAGCATAAAGAAGCAAACATCGTTTCCAGTAATTATTTTTGGGCTCCCGCCATGTCATTCATAAGCACTGACTAGAAGGTTTCTACCGTCGTAAAATCACTGTGCTTTTATATGTCGCACCAATTTTACGCTGCTGTACAAGAAATTTATAATGGTCCGCGTGCTGAACTACGAAAACGACCTCCTTTCGTCCGCCATTTTGCCTGAGCAGCGCGCCCCCTATAGTTAGCTGGAGTCGCGAATATACAATGCAATTCGAAAAAAAAAAAAAAGAAAAAAAAAGAAAACGCGACTTACTGCTTGGCGTTGGCAGCTTGCGCCTTGCATTCGGTGACACACTTTGCGAGCTGCCTGCAACAACAAAAAGCGACACAAGAGTGGTTAGCTCGGAAGAAAGGAACAACAGACGGATAGTTGTGACATTAATAACGAGTGTGACAACGCTGAAACGAAAAAAACACACACACACACAAAAAGACAGCGTCGAGAGACACGCGGAAGAGGCCGGGGTGTGTACGAGAATCGGCTCAGAGTCGCTGGGCGTTTCTTTGGAGCGTAAACCGGCCGTCATGGTTCGTCCAAGCGAGTCCAGCTGATTGGCTGAACGTAGACAGACAACAAAAAGTGACATCCCACACCACCGACAGCTTGTGTGACCCATACGGAGAGTTCCCAATCTCCAAATTAAAAAAAAAAAAGAAGTATTACTGCGGACCATACGAGGCCGCAATAGTTCATGCTTATTTCGCCTATGCCAGCCAGCCTCAGAAGACGATTTGGTCCAAACTATAGGGCTGAAACGCGAAGATAGGTCCCATGCTCTTTAGAAATCTGACAAATCGGTAGAACTTGTGGAGACCGCAAACACGGAAAGAAAGGTCGAATCGCGTGTTGCAGTTCATATGTACGTAAGAAGAAATTGACTTGCACCTCGCGCGCTCCATTTCTCTACCTTGGGGACTTCCCCTGAATCATTCTATATCTACTTTGTAGATATAGAATGAAGGCGCAGCTATACGAGCGAATGGGACTAATCAAGCAGCGTGAAATGCGCAAGTCACTGGGCCTTTCCTGTTTACGATTGGTTCAGCGATGATAGAACGCGTACAGGAACACGACGAACACCATGATGGTGCGCTTTTGACGCTCTCTGGTTGTTCCCATCAGCTCGTAGCGTCGGCTGCTTAGCCCATATTGTCCTGCGGGGGTACGTCATTACTCCGACCGATCAGTGGGAGACCGGAAATACGATCGGCTTAGGTCATTAGAGACCTTTAGCAAACGGTTACCGTGTTCCGCGTACCGCACTAGCGGAGCCTTCGAAGCATGTTTTTAAGTGCGCGCGCCCAGGTGATATCGTGACCGCAGGGCGCTCCCTTAAAAGCATACTTCAAGGGCTCCGTTAGTGCGGTACGCGGAGCACGGTAACGGTTTCTTAAAAGTCCCCATTATCTCTTCATCTCTAATAAATGGAACAATAGCGCTGCTGGTATGTACCAGACACCAAGCTCGCGTTTCTAATTCCATACGACCAGGTCGACACTGGAGGACCGAACGACCAACCGAAGGTGAGCACGACTTTTTCGACACTAGTCTGGGCTCTCGGGCACCGCCACATTTGACGAGCAGCTACTGCTCATCTATAATCAAACAAAAAGTATGTATACGGCTTTGTTTTTTCTAGCGCAACAAAAACTTTTATCATTCGGTGTACTTTAAACGGAGCTAGAGCTTAATTATTTACCCTAGCAATAGCAAAAAAAAAAAAAAAAAAAAGAAGTACGAAGTAGCAGCTGCCGCAAACAGACGATACGTTGAAATATCCCCGGTGGGAATCATCCAAAGCGGACGGCAAGCGAGGAAGGGGCAAACGGCGACCTCTACAACCCCAGCGAGATAATCAGGGCATCGAAACGAGGCACCTGACAACGGAACCTCGGAGTCCACCCGTACGGATCACTGTCACGTACTTCGCTCCGCCGTCCTGATTGATTCGAGGGCGTTCGCTATTTTGCCAAATCGACAACTTATGAACGACAGGGCGTGGTTAATTGTGACGCTGTTCCCGAGCCGTCACTGACCGTAGAATTAGAGGAACAGACTGCGTTCAAGGTTTAGTGACGCACAAGGAAAGCGGTCTAGAACAACACAGATTTGACAAAGCTCCGAGCTGCCTAAAAAAAAAAAAAAAATGCGGTCTAATTAGGCTTACGTACGAAGGCTAGGAAAAAGACAAAGAACAAAAGTCGATCGCGTTTGATCGAACTGAAGACGAGGAACCTGTCCTGGGCAGGGAGCCGAAAATAGCTGCAGCTAGTCGCACGCGTCAATAAACGGGCAACGTTGCAGTAACAAACTCAGTAAACAAAAAAAAATAAAATAAAATACTACGGCATTAAGACGCAAGCAAAAATACAAAACGAAAAAAAAAAAAAAAGCTATCAGATTTTTGTTTGGACGAGGTTCATTAGAAGCCATAATGACGACAAACGGGCAACACCGACAACGAGCATGGGGGTCATGAGGACTTGTAGCTAGTACCTGACAGCCGCAGAAATGCCGCTGACCCAACGAGTTTCGAAAGTGAAAAGCTAGCCTCTAAATATAGACTCCAGGTCGTTTAAAATGTGGCGAAGGGAAGGTGCACTAAGGGGGAGGAGGAGCGAAAAAGAAGAGGGGCTAACAAGACTGACCGGATCGAATATGCGCGCTCGCTCTTTGACAGGCACTGACTGACCAGCCAACTCTTCTTTAGACGTTAACACGATGTCAAAAGCCGCACTGCCTTTACACGAACACGTCTTCCTACCAACAGACGCAAAAGAAAAAAGGAAAAGACGTTGCAAAAACGGGTTTTTCGAACCACCAAAATTAAGAACGCCAATCAAATGACAAAAAAAAAAAAAAAGTTTTAACGTCCACGTCTACTGGAACGAGAAAACCACGTTTCCCGCCCTACTTCGTTCGATGTGCTCGGGGATGAGCATAGAAGGCTACTCTCAAGCGCAAAAATTGTTTCCTCGAGCGCGTCGTGGCATCGGTCGAGTGCAAGAACACGGCACGGATGCAGTAGGGAACGCTCGGTTAAGCGGCGACATCTTCCGCGGAGAACGGACACAGAAAAGCCATCAGCTGTCGCAACTCACTGTCGAGCGAGACGGGCGAATGTGGCGGGGGCGCACGTCTCCCCGCGAAGCCGGCGTGCATGGTGACACTGCCCGCCGTGCTTCCCGCACAACTCATCGCGCGTGCGAGGCGACGGCAGGCGAAGAGAGGTGCGCATATTTCACGGCTCTCGCGAGTTCCCCCCCCCCCCCCCCCCCCCCCCCCTTCAGCAGAAAGGAAACTTGGCCCCGATATCAGCGGGGGTGTTTCGCCACTGCATGGCCGTCAGGTGGACCCAATTTTCCCCGCTTGCGCAACAAAGCGCCCCTGTCGCATGCTCGTCGCCTCGGTATCGTCCCTCGCCCAGGTTGCGGGACGGATGATGATTAAAAAAAAATGTCGGAACGACCTTTTTTTTATTTTTTATTGTTTGTTTATTATCCCACAGATCTCTTCCGTGCTTTGAGATTCAAGCGCGAAGAACGAATCGCTGGAATAAAAGAAATGGCGTCGGCGCGGCAGTTTCGAGGGTTTCTCCAGCTCCGCTGAAGGTTTGAAAAGAATGCAGTGTCCTCAGGGCGAACCACGGCGCATCCTGGGTGCATAGAGCCCCATTTGAAGGCCCTTTCATATTCCAAATCGTGTTACCCCCCAGTCCGTGTGAAGCACGCTGCAAATCTCGTACTTCTCACGCGAAGCAGGTAATCTTTTTTTTTTTTTTTTTGCCAGAACATTAACATTGTGAGCACGGCAATGCGGTGTATGGAAATTGATCTTCCTTATTTACAACTTGACACTAGAACATTTTACAACTTTAGGGTGGTTAAAGGCTGTTCCAAAGACTTACCACCCCGTGGCTACACACTTTCACCACCCTCATTTCGAGTAATACACCCTCTTTAATCGTAAAGTAGGATGCTGTAGCATGAAACACCCTTCATTTTTGAAGGGTGTAAAAAGGGTGCGGAAAAAGGTGCCACGTTGCAGTGAGGCGAACACCCTTTGTGAAGGGTGTTCGCCCTTCAAAAACAGCTGTAGCGGAGATTGTTTTAGCAACTCCGTAGATTAATTATTGCCCGTATCCATGCTTTTTAATTTGAGATACATTCCTTGAACTTGGATATTATTATATTTTATTATGTAAAGCATAAAATATTAATTATGCTTTACGTTATATATTGAGAACAAATCGACACACTTGTAAGTTGTAACCTTCATAATTGCGGAGATGGTCACTGCGAGTCGGTCTTTCAATTGTCGATTACATAAAGCGGTGGATCAGACAACAGGGTAAGGGGGATCGGTGGCCGAGTGTGTTAGCGCACAGCAGCTCGGCGCGCGTGGGGCGAAAGGTGGCGCTTAATGGGGATTGAACGGTTCAATTCCCAGCAAGCGCCACCTTTCGGGCAGCGATGAGGATTGAGCCCAGGATCCCTGGGTTCGAACCCAGGGATCCTGGGCTCCATCCCCAACCCTGCCCGTTTCGATCTGGATGAGCATGACCAAGTGACAAATGCGATTCTAAGGAAATCTAAAATGAAAACTGGAATCACTGGACAATCGACGTTTCAGTATGGCAGTTCAAATAGTTTGCTGTTCTTTTTTTCTTTAAATATTAATTGGCCTCTTTTTTAACGTGCATATCGCCTTTCATCACATATGGGGTCGCCAATAGGCAGTAGGTGACGTCAAGACAAAATGTCGGAATTGTTTTTGATTATATTAATGCAAGAAAATTGGTACACCTCATTGAAATAATGAAGAAATTATCATATGAAAACTTAAATCAACCTTTTAAAGTTTAAATGAAATATAAATCATAAATATGAACAAAAAGAGCTTGACTTGTTTGGTTATTGAGAAAGGTTTATTTGCTATAATATTTCAGCAAAACAAAATAAGAATGTCTCCGAAGTTTATAGGAAAATGCCGAGGAAAGCGCTCGCTGCCGCCCAATTGCTTTCTATCAGCTTCGTGAACACGGTGCCAATGTTGTCATTGCTTCTGAGGCCGGTTCCAATTAAAGGTCTTTCCAGCCGCCCTAAAATTATGGCCTTCTGAAGTCGATCACACTTCGCGAGTTGTTTAACAAGAGTGACATTTTCCTTTGGTTTCAAAGTATTAGTATTAGACACCTGAAGCATTAGTTATGATGAGAAAGTTAAAAAAGAGATAAATATAGGATCCTCGATCGGTAACATCTGGGTAGGCACAACCCATATTAATGTAAATTCAATATAAATGGA